AGAAAACTTCCTTTCAACTCACAGCCTGCTCCTTGAATTATGCCAGGTGAAAGATGAGGGGGGGAAACCACAAGTGGAAAAGGGTGATAGGAAGGTTTTCAGGAGAAACAAAACATCTGAGGGAGAGAGAGTGAAAAACAAATTATTTACTGCAGTATGATACCATGTAGGATGAAACACATTTGAATGACAAGGCAGCCGATATCTGCTAATTGGTTTTTGACTGCATGTCTTTGAACTGCCGCTGTGGTGGAGCTCTGTTTCCAGGCAAACAGTTATCCCTTGCTATCTCAAGTGCTGCTTAATTTTCCATACAAATATCAAACCTCTCTCCACAGTGGATTAGTTGCAATTTAATAGAATTTGCAGTGTCACCGCTCACAGCGGCCAGTTTATTCCCATGAAAATTAGTGAAACAAATCTTGCTTCAAGGTGTCTTTCTGCTCCACCTTCAGTATCAGAAGACCAACACATACAGCACCACCCACATACAGTATCTGTTCCAACCTGCACCATTTGCACAAATAAAAAAATTATAAGGACCTAGTATTTTTTGAAGGAATGCTAATCTTTTGCTGCCTTTCATGCCTGATTTTTAGACTAAAACCAATATTTTTAAGTCAGTATGGAAAATCTACTGAGTTMTTGCCATTTTGCATTTACTGTTGCTGATTAAGTCAGCTGGTTCGGATGTTATCAGTCCATTAAATGGACGTTGTTAGCGGTTATCAGTCCCATAGAATGGCTTCAGACTGTCCCAACAGTGCCCCCTAGTGGGTTACCAGTGCCATATACATTGGAATGTAACAATCATCTACCGCCGGAGTCCGGTCTACTTTATTGTAGCTGATCTCATTTTCTCTAAAATTAACCTTAGTGGTTTTATGCCTCATATTAACCAGATTGCATAAAAAAACCTTAGTGGTTTTATGCCTCATACTAACCAGCTGACAGTCTGAAGCCATTCTATGGGACGGAGAACCCACTAGGTGGCGGTCGGGACAGTCTGAAGCCAGTCTGAAGCCATTGTATGGGACTGATAACGGCTAATAACGTCCATTTAATGGATGATAACATCCGAAGCATGTTATTAAGTCCCTGTCACACTATAACATTTTAGAGAACTTATGAAAAGTTTGTCCAACACTAAAGATGACTAAGCTGAAGATGGAATTTAAAAAMAATCTACTGTAAGCTTCTTTTGGACCTATACATACTGYAACRCTAACAAYTAGATCGAATAASTAGCTGATACAAGTAAAATAGTCAASAAAATTTTCATTAGTCAGCATAAGTTGTCCCAAACGTCAGACTGTGACAAGACCTTAAGATGTTGCAGTCAGCCAGTTGAACTGGGTTGACTCCAAAAGTGAATCAGTTCTATAGTAAATAATTGCTTTCTGACAGTGTCCTTTAAATCCATGCAGTGGTTCATGAGATATTTTGCTGACAGACAATTAGGGTTGGCGATACATGCCAAGGTTCAAAGTAAAATTGTCAAACTAATGTGTGGGAAGATGTCAAAGTACTACCTCAACAAAATATTGGGTTCAATMTTTGTGAATCTGGCTGAAATTTTCTTACAGCTGTGCCAGACGTCTTGAATTGGGTTTAGTCCAAAATCTGTTCTAGATTTCAATGAATATTTGCTGAAAAAGATCATTAACATCCTACAATGATTGATAAGATATTTCACCAACAGACAGAGTTTATTCCAATAGTTGTTGGTAAAATTTTTAAAMACAAATCTTGTGCAGTGAATTAATTCTCAGAGTAAGGATCAATCTGAGCTGCCAACACACCAAATTTGAGCTCATTCTGTTTAAATTAATTGAGTTTTACTTGTTTTGTATTTCCTGAGATTGCTTTGCTGTAGCAGCCAAAAGTGTATTGACTGTAGACATATATCCTGATTTGCATCTCACTATGCTGTTTTTTAGCACAAAATAATCAGAGGATGACATCCATCCATCTGTCTGTTACTAGTATGTTGCTACAACGTTTGATGGTTAAGATACAAGTTCCTTTCAAGACCTCATCCAAGAGAGGTTTCCTACATTAGTAGTAGTAAATACGTACTTTCAGTATGAAAGTATAAGTGTAACAAAACAATCTCACAAAGAGTTCACCTCTGTCTGTCTAAACTGGGGGGAGTAAACCCGGTCCTCAAGGGCAGCTATTCTGCATGCTTTAGATGTTTCTCTGCTCCATCACATCTAATTTGAATGAATGGGCGATTAACAGGCTTCTGCAGAAATTGAAGAAGCAAGTCAGTCACTGAAGCAAGTGTGACAGAGCAGGGAAACAAGTCAAACATGCAGKAGTGACCCTGGAAGACCAGGATTGCCCACTCCTAGTCAAGGCTTTTATTGACAGCCTGATACCAGATTATGTTTTTGAAAGATTGAGATGTTTCCTGCTGGGAAGTTACATTACATTACATTACATTACATTACATTACATTCACATGTGCAGCAAACATCAACTATGAATCTACATTAAATCTAAAGATTCTGTGTCAATATGTGACTTATCTGTTCTACAATTTAAGCCAAGTTATTATTGRTCTGCTGACAGAAAATGATCAAGCCTTAGCCAGGACAATCTTTCACGTCGTGTCACTCGAAAAATGGTGATTAAATCAAATCTGATTCATAAKTGATTGCAGAACCAACTCACTGCACTTGACGTCTCATCAATAGTCAGTGTCACAGAAATTATTTGGAGCGTATTTTCTAAAAATCTGTCAAGTACTGACTATTTTTTCTTCAGTTATTCAGAATAGGCAATATTTGTGTTGCATCATTTTCAAATGGTGCTGAAAWGCAAAACAGGTAGTAACTGATGGTGAAATCAATGCAGCCTCCTTTGCAAACTTTTTGTGTTATTTAGCTCACATATTACACATTTYAATGCATTAAAATGTAAAATGTTTAAATGTATTCTGCTATTACTAGGCCATATGTTTACAGTGTAATACACTGTAACACGTTTTTACAGATGCACGATCTTTTAAATTGATAGATATTGTATTATCTTATTACATTAGAAAGAGTTTGTGTGAGAATGTTGATGGAAATGATTATGTTTAGTGTGGCTCTGAATAAAATTTCTGCYACATTAGTTGTTTTTTGGAAACAAGAAACACCCTGGTTGTGCAAGTCAATACTGGTTCCCATTCTCGTACACCTCTGAACTGCTGATACTGGTTCCTCTCTAAAAACTATGATTAAAAACACAAAATCTATCTAATCAAATTCATCATACATTAAACAACTACTATTTTTTGGATCGATCATTCAAATCCTGCTGCATTGTTTTTGGGGCTCAGTTGTGGAGCGTGTGTATGTGTGTGTGTGTTTGTCGGGTGGTGGTGGTGTGTGTGTTAAGTATCTATTATTAAAGATATAATAAACTGCTGAGGGACAGATTACCACACAGATTTCACACTGCGGCTCAATGCAATGCTAATGATCATATTTTATAATAACCATGTCAATGGCTGCAAAAACATTAGTTTTTCACCAAAGTAGTCAGTGGCCAATTAAAATTAAAAAGCTTGAACAGAATGCACTTACATTACTCAGAGGAATATATTTCAGATGGATTCTGTCACTGGTTGTAAACAGGAAGTTGGTATTTAATTATGCAGATAGTTTGTAGTTTGAATGATTTGCTGTATTCAGAAGATAATCTGCAGACCAGCTTTAGGCAATCAGAGTCAAGCACAGCTGACCTTTTTAGTTACTTTTTGAAAAGAGTTTCTGTGCAACAATTCAAGCTCAAATTATGCGTTGGGGGTGTGTGTGTTCATGTTCAGCTGCAACCAAARTTTTAGGTCAGYATCTGTAAATTTGACTGATTTCKAGCTTTTTGTGTTTGGTCATTTAGTCAGTCAGTTTTAGAGGCGATTCAGTGATGAGTTATAGTAGTTTCATTCAAATCTGTCCATCAAGGTATTTTAGTAACACACACACCAACACACACATACATTAGCAAAAACACTATCGTCCACTTTCACCTTTCTGTAGCAAAACCTGTTTAAAATTTCCRCATATGTCTGGCCTAGTTCTGGCACAGTTCCAGAGGTGGTTCATGCATGGGCCAGCACCACATAAAACAAACCACAACTGGACCAGTTGTGACATGCCATTATAAAAACRATACCATCACTGCTAGCTCTGGCTTACATCTGGTTGACAAACCACTTGCCATGCCAGCAGTTAGCAAGAAGTGCTAGCTAGACATCAGATCTGACCCACACCTGTCTGCTATGTGGATTTATTGCAATGACAGAAGAATAAATACCACAATAAAACTTTTGAACTTTTCACATGGTCACAAAAAAAAGAGTGAAAGCCAGAAGGTTCAGCGGTTAGCACCAATGCCTCCAAGGGCGTAACTTTAGGTCTACCGTTCGGGGGCTTGTGTTCTAAAACCCTGCATATCATTTTCAGCAGTTATGTTTGAACCTACAAATATGACATCGTAATTTTTTTTAAATCAGGTCAAAGTTACCTAAAGACAACAAGAGAGTATTTAATCAGTTAATTTCTATTGTGTTTGAGCAAATGATGTCATTTTATTGGGGGACTTATATTGACTGGATCAAATTATTGTGGGGGTCATAACCCCCCTAACCCCTCCGCAAATTACGCCTATAGATGCCTCACAGCAAGATGATCCAGATTTGGTCCCCACTTTATATGTAGGGTCTTTTGTGGAGTTTGCATGTTTTTTGCATGTTAGCGTGGATTTTCTCAGTGTGCTCTGGTTTTCTCCCACACTCCAAAAACATCTTGGTTGGGCTGCCTTCAGGCCGAGGCCTCCCTTGAAAAAGAGATCTGTGATCTCAATSGGATTTTCCTGGCTAAGCAAAGGTTAATAAATCAATTTTAAATTCATCAGATTTCACTCTCATCCTGTGGTTTCATTGCCTCTRTTAAACTAAGATGATCCGTCTCCTCAGACTGAATATCACTTTTTGTCTCATCTTCCAGGAGTTCCACGCCTGGTTCTCTCTGCAGGCGGGAGGGACTGTCTGCGAGCCGGAGACACGTGCTCCAGCGATGACACCTGCAGCCCACGACTGCGCACCCTCAGGCAGTGTGTGGCGGGAGATGGCAGCATGAAGCTGGGGCCCGGGGCGCGAAACCAGTGTGAGAATGCAATGACAGCGCTCTTGTCCACCCCTCTGCATGGCTGCCAGTGTAAACGAGGAATGAAGAGGGAGAAGAACTGCCTGAGTATTTACTGGAGTCTCCATCAGTCTGTGCTGCACGGTGAGACTGACATTAGCACACAGATAATGGCTGATTGTGGCGTGGGCAGCAGCATGGATAGTATAATGCTGGGAAACGCTTGTAGAAATAAATTAGGCCCACACCTCCACTCAACGGATTCCAAAATGAAATGAAAAGGGTGATTATTTTGTCAAAAACAGGTAAAACTGTAGCTCAGATTTGGATTATTCCACCCACACACATTATTCTTTATAATTTTTGTACTTCTTTCCGTTGCTCTTTTCTGAGATTGTCACTGAACCCCATTATTTATTATCCTCTGGTATTCAAACGCAGGAATTTAACTGGCACTCTCACTTTCATCACGACAAAATATATGTAACCGTACGAGGCTGACAGTGAGACACGACCTGCAGATGTACAGATAAAACAACAACCTGGGTTTTACATTCAGGATTCTTCTTGAAATGCTGTGTAGCTGAGATTAATGATGTCAACTACAGTATGTGTATTTTGTTGTTTTTCTGGTTGGGTGTTTATGAGTGTTTCTTCTAGTTGTTAGTTTCACATGAAAAGCAGCCAGTTTTAGAATAAACCAARCATTGTCAAATCAGAAGAAATATAAACTGCAAACATTTCAATCACAGAACAGGATATGTTCCTGCTTAATCAAAATTCCTCCAAAAGAAATCAGATTAGGGAGGTTTGGTGTAAAGTTAATGATATTCTGATCGACTGACTAATGATTACATTTTAGCCAGTCAATCAAAGCCAATTTCTTTCAGATATTTTCTCTTCGTTTGGTTCAAGCAGTTTTTCTTTTGTGCATACTTAACAGAGTGGGTGWAAGATGACAAGATGAGTTTCTAACAGCGTATGTTCCAAATGCTTACATCTACTGTATTGATGTACTTGGAGACATCATTAGTGATAGTGCCTGACCAAAATTTTATATCATGGTTTTTGACAATTTTTTTTTAGTCACAGCTCAGGCTGATGTTAAATTGTTCAAACGCTGCTTATTAATCAGCTGACTGCAATCAGCTGAAGTTACTCTCTTTCTGCAACACAGAAATTAAATCTTGTTTTTTTTTCTTTTACTATACCTCTGTCTGTGTTTTGTCCTTCCTCTGACTTTTCTTCCTTCCCTGGTTGTAGGCGTTAGTTGCACGTTTTGGGTTCGCATCACGTAAGCAGTAGGGTGGGGGGCACATGGCGGCAGGTGCATTTGTGAAGGAGGAGAGTTGAGCAAAGAATTTTGTTATTGGGCAAATTTACTATGTAGATGAAGTCTATCTGTGCAAAATACATTCAACAATGGCAAAAATAGAACATTTTTTTATCAATCAGTTTAAGCAGCGGTGGACATTTGAGTAGACGGAGAAATCGCCACCTGGCTTGTTATTGAGAAGGTTGCTCCAACAACGACACTAGCTTGCCCTGTGTGCTGCTCTATTTCCTCCATGAACGTTCAGCAGTGCTGCAAGGAAAAKGGTCCCCCATGAAACAGTTTACTGATGGGAGCAATGTTCCAAATGTGTTCAAACAATGTAAACCAGTATCCTGACTGGGAGTGATCTATTCCCAGTCTGTGTCCAAAAAGCATAAACCCACTGCCTGTCCCTCATGATCCAYAATCCTCTTGAGGCCTTTTCTTTTACATGCTGTTGTAATGCCCAGGAGGCTGTAAACCCAGCAATTCATGCTTACCATAAAACACCAGTTCCCCATTTTGGACATAAATGAAATTAAATAAATTTTAAACTATGAAATCAAACCTAAGAAAGTTATCCTGAGCTCTGTAAAATGGTGCAATTGGAAAGAAGTTACGCTTATAGTTTTCTAGAAAAGTTGATATGCAAATCTGAAAGGCGGGTATGTGACCAATGTAAACATAGCATTTTYATCTACATTCCAATATGTCAAATATGATACCAAATGACTCATTCAAGGTCAACATTGTGTTTTGATTTTTTAGTGACTTCAGCTGTTTCTGTAGGTAAACCAGGTTTACCTGGTAGGTGGAGAGGTTTATCTGGTAGGTGGCAGCTGTTCCTAAATTTTGTGTGTGATGACATTACAATAAGTAGTCTGTCYGTCCATCCGTTTTCTTCTGCTTATCCGGGATCAGGTCGCGGGGGCAGCAGCCTAAGCAGAGAGACCCAGACTTCCCTCTTCCCAGCCACTTGGGCCAGCTCGTCTGGGGCAATCTCAAGGCGTTCCCAGTCCCGGCGAGAAACATAGAATAGTKCACTGCAGGTCTTAATGCTCAKTTTCGACTTTTTGAAAAAATCTGATCTTTTGGCGTGAGCGTTCACATTACATTTTAAATGCGACCTGCATCAGACTCCAGTGTGAACGCTACACAGCACTGATGTGACTCGCATGCGCAGTAAAAGACATGACGTCTCATTCAGCAGGCTTGTTTGTTTACAGAGCTAGCATGGATGCTACATTTTGCACATCGAATCTGAAGTTGTTGTTTAATCAGAGCCGATTAAATAATTATCTGACGTGCTTGTTAAGTTCAGTGTTTATATCTGAACCTGCCTCTGACCGGATACTCCAGTGAAGCTTTTTATTTTTGAACGAAACAACGAGCTGGAAATAAAGTATCGACCGAGTAACTTTAGGATCGAAGCAACTGGACTTCTGTTTTGGAGCTGTAAAGTCATGGAACGACAAATTTAAACAGTGTGACTTGAGGTTAGTGACTTATCGATCCCTCACCCCCACCTCACTGATGAAAAAGTCGGATGGAATGTGACATGTGCGTTCACACTGCAGTCGCTTTGAAAACATCATATATATATATCGGATTTAGAACCACATACTGAAACAGCCTGGGTCGGATTTGGAAAAGATTTGTCGCAGTCAGACTGTCAAAAAAAATTGGATATGGGTCGGATGGGGCAAAAAATAGGATTTGGGTTGCATTTGCCTGCAGTCTGAACGTAGCCATAGTCCCTCCAGCATGTCCTGGGTCTTACTCTGGGCCTTCTCCCAGTGGGACGTGCCTGGAACATCCAGGAGGCATCCTAACCAGATGCCCGAGCCACCTCAACTGGCTCCTCTCGACGTGAAGGAGCAGTGGCTCTACTCTGATGGCTCGTTCACACCGAGAGCGTTTTGAGCTGCCAAAACGCGCAAAACGCCTCAAGTTGGACGCACTGCTTGGACGTATGTTCACACTGGAATGAGAAGCGGCAGCTGCAGCGGCGTCGGGGTGTGGGAGGAGCGTCTTGATTATTTTTCCGGTCTGGTTTGTTGTTGTGTGGTAAAATGGCAGATGAAATGGCGAACGGGATGGGAAAACACAGCAACGATCAGTTTCTCCTCCATACTTGCAAACGAATGCGCGCCAGTTCTCGAGTTTCTGCGTCTCATCAATAATACGTCACACAGGGTTGAACATCCGTCCCCTCGCCACCACGTCACAGCAGATTTGATTGGTTGTCGAGACGCGGCGAGCGGCGACGTTCAGATAAAGTTCAGATTTTTCAACTCGAGCGGCRGCAGCTGCCGCGAGCACCGCATGCTCGGAAAACACTCTGCCGCCCCTTCCGCGCCGCTCAACCCCTTGAGGCGCGTTCGCCATAGACTTTGCATGTAAACTGGCAGCTCCTGCCGCTCAAAACGCTCTCGGTGTGAACGAGCCATGAGTCCCTCCCAGATGACTGAGCTTCTCACCCTATCGCTAAGGGAGAGTCCAGACACCCTGCGAAGAAAACTCGTTTCGGCCACTTGTATCCACGATCTCGTTCTTTCAGTTACTACCCAAAGCTCGTGGCCATAGATGAGGGTAGGAACRTAGACTGACCAGTAAACCATGACAGACTGGTACAACGCCCGCATCACTGCAGATGCAGCACCAATCCACTTGTCGATCTCCCGCTCCATTCTTCCCTCATTCTTGAACAAGACCCAGAGATACTTRAACTCCTCCACTTGGGGCAGGACCTCCTCCCCRACCCGGAGAAGGCACTCTACCGGTTTCCGGCTCAAGACCATGGTCTTGGATTTGGAGGCACTGATCCTCATCCCGGCCGTTTCACACTCGGCTGCGAAACGCTCCAGTGAGAGCTGGGGTTCATGATCTGATGATGCCAGTAGGACCACATCATCTGCAAAAAACAGAGATGCAATCTTAAGGTCACCAAAATGGATCCCCTCAACACCTTTGCAGTGCCTAGAAATAAAAGTTATGAACAGAATCGGTGACAAAGGGCAACCTTGGCAGAGTCCAACTCTCACTGGAAATGAGTATGACTTACTACTGGCAATGCAGACCAAGCTCTGGCACTAGTCGTACAGGGACCTAACAGCCTGTATCAACGGGCCTGGTACCCCATACTCCCGGAGTGCCCCCCAMRGGAGCCCCCAAGGGACATGGTCAAATRYCTTCTCCAAATCCACAAAACACATGTACACTGGTTGAGCAAACTCCCATGCACCCTCCAGGACCCTGCTGAGGGTGAAGAGCTGGTCTGCTGTTMCACAACCATGATGCAAAACCACACTGCTCTTCCTGAATCTGAGATTTGACTATCCGACGGACCCCTAAATAGACAAATAGCCCGGCCACCAGGCACTCGCCAACATGCCCYACATCCAGGCCTGGCTCCAGAGTGGGGCCCCAGTGACCGGCGTCCAGGTGAGGGAACACTGAATCCATTTATTGTGTTCATCATAAGGGAGGTCTTTGGGCTGCACTTTGTCTGATCCCTCACCTAGGACCTGTTTGCCTTGGGTGACCMTACCAGGGACATGAAGCCCCTGACAACATAGCTCCTAGGATCACTGGGACACTCAAAACTCTCCACCACGATAAGGTGGCAGCCCAGGGAGAGGATAAGATAAAAMAAACAATAAGTAGTCATAGATGAAAAAACGCACTCTGGAATAATGGCAAATCCAAACAGTGCAAGAACATTTGTAGAAAAAAGCATAAAGTAATGCATGAGCAGCTTGTGCCAAAAGATCTGAAATATCTCTCCTCAATGCTGCACCTCTTACTGTTGCATTAGTAAAATCTTCCACCTACATCAGATAGTTGCTTTTTACCCTCAGTAGAGCAGTGACTGCAGAAAGAGTTTTACTTCATAAATAAACAAAGATAGAATCTGACAGCTGTGGAAGATTTATAGAACAATCAAAAACCTTTTTTTTTCTGGTTGAAAAAATCTTGTAATGTGAATCTCGTGTTTCTGGGTTAACAGCATTAAATTATGCTTTCTGATCTGTTCTCCTGATGTCAGAAGTCACACATACACTCACATCACACAGACACTGTCCTTRCATATTTATAAATGCTAGCAGGCAATCTGACTTTAAAAAATACACCAAGTGACTCTTAAACACTGTGATATTCACCTCAGGGAAACAAACCTTAACATTGTTAGTATTGAAATGAATGACATATAAGTTTGGTTTGCAATTATTCATCTCTCTCATTAAAATATTAACAACTTTTCAGTTTTTGGAGGAATGCATATCATATTTTATGCTGAAGTCTTCAACCAAAACCTTTTTATGTTGAAAAATTACACATATGGCTGTTTGGGTCAAACTTAAGTCATAACATTATGTGCTATGTGAGATCTAATAGAATCTGTCAGAGCTTGAAATATGTCTTCTGTTCTGCTTGCTTAACGTTTGACAATTTTGTTTCAATATTTTTTAACAAATTTCAGCAGTCATTTAGGGGTCACGCTGCATGTTTGCAGAAAATGTGATTTTTTTTTTGTTGTATTTTTTTGTTAGTGATATATATGCAGTATGATGTTTTTCTCTTCTGTATTGGCAGGACTCAGCTTGGTGGAAAGCTACCCCTACGAACCAGAGGAAAGGGGCTTTGACTATGTTCGTCTGGCCTCCATCGCTGCAGGTGACTGAGAGAGCAAGTTTTTACCTTACTGCCTTAAGTTAGCGCTCCTTACATCACAGGGAAATTGAAAATGTGACTGTGGAAATCATCTGCTGCACACAACACACTAAGAGGATCCCCACCAAGCAACCTGTCAAAGTAAATTCAGCTTAGGGCTCCATCATGTTGACAGAGCATGAGGTAGTTCTGCAGTTGGGTTTGTGAAGTGTTTGATGAGTTACAGCCTTCACTTCACTTTTGTCTTGCCTCTGAGCCTGTGGGCTAGCTATAGGGGTTGGTRTGTGCGGCTGTTTGCCCCTGAGGCACATTTTAATTACCTATTTGTTTTAATGCAGCTAGAAGCAGAACAACTTGGGAAAATAAAGAAGAGAGTGACACTGTGAGGAGAAGAAAAACAACAAACAATTTAAAAGAAGAGGAAAAACAGATATAGTGAGGAGAGGAGGCAGCTGATTTGATCAAAGCAATAGCTTTCTTTTTTTCTTTAAGTCCTGTTCACACTTAGCATTTTATATCAATTTTGGGTGATCTACTCCAAAATGTTTTGCACCCTAATCTTAGTTACTTGTATTTTATGTATAGAAACGACCAAATCGGCAACAAACAATACATAGACAGGTCTGTGACGTTTCGGTTAAAGTCACAATTTATGCAGATCTATAAAGACTAAATATTTTTGACATAACGTGGTTCAGATTTATCTTCTGATAAGTTTAATTACTTAACAGACATACAGTATTACAAGAGGGGACAAAAGGCACTTTTTGCTGATTAGTGACGTTACAAAGCTTATGGTGCGTTCACACCGAACGCGATTTCAGCTTCAAAATCGCAGCCAACGCTGAAGTTTGAAGCTTGTGCACTTTGAGGTCAGACGCAGGACAGCTGCGCTGCACGGCGACAGCCGCCCCGCCCCTCCCTCCTCTGTCGGTCTCTAATGTCGGACGAGGAAGTGGCTTTGCTTTATTTACAGACAGCCAGAACGTGTCACGTTCATCAGATAATTAATTCATAATTAATTCACCAGATAATTCAGAGAAGAGGCTCACAGCTCACTTTCAGGACTATTTTTCCAGTCTGATGAGTCGCTGTCACGCATTGCTGCGGATCAGGACACGACTGCAGGCACTCATTTCAGCTAAAGAGCAGGAGCTCCGTCTGTTTCAGGTTAGTGGACMTCATTCAGTAAACTGTCCCGTCGGAAAATATGTCACTACGTCACACAGTGGAGTCTCTCTGATTGGTTGACGCTGCGCGTCGAGCTGCAAAAGTTCAGATTTCCCAACTTCAGCGATTTGGACGATTTGGACGATCTGAGCGTTCGACGCTCAGATCGTCCAAATCGTCCAAATCGCGCTGCTCTAATCGCGCTTGAGGCGCCGCAGAACTTCCCGACGTTGCTTGAAGCGCGTCCACCATAGACTTTGTATGTAAACCTGCTGCTCCTGACGCTGAAATCGCGTTCGGTGTGAACGCACCATTAGTGTCACAACAAAAATTGAGATTTTACCCTGTAAATATCCAACACAGTGAAATGGTGTACTGATAACCATCAGCAGGTTTTACACAGCTTCACTGTAAAATAAACGTCTGCTCTGTGTTCAGTTAAGTGAATGAAAATATGTAACTTTTGTTATGTTATTGAGACAGGATACTCAAGCTCACAGTGACCACAGTGGTTCAGTCAGCTATGAAACAAATGGAACAAAAAAAACTAAAAAGAAACTTATCACACTGCATCTTGTTAATACATTATGATTAATAAAGTCCTGACAAAATGGAGAATTTTAGTTCATTAAAACTTTTAGCTCATAAAATGCTCTAAAAGCTGTGGTTTCAGGATATTTTAAAGGATGACTGTTCAATTATCTTTAATGACCCAGTATCTTAAGACTTTTTTTGTTTTTACCTCAAGACATTCAGGTAATAACTCTGCTGATTTTATAGGGTCACATCAGTTCAGTAGGAGGTCTTACAGCTTGGCTCAGTCATACTACTGAATAATTTGGATGAAAGGGGTCCAGACTTCCTCCAACACAGAGTTGTCACAGGTGTCTTCATGACCTCTCACTATCAGAGGTCTATAAAGTACTTGAAAAAAAACTAAGTAAAAGTAAAATTACATAAACAGAAAATGACCTTTGGAAGTAAATGTACTTAGTTACTATAAACCTCTGGAGCCAAATGTATGTCAGCAGCATGTTGTCTAATTAGGCCGCGCCCACCTTGTTGTAGTCCTCACCATCTCTCAAAGTGAAGCACTGCAGAATTTACAAGTCGCTGTATGTGAACCTGTTTGGTTCAGAGTGTGTAGAAGTACTTTTACTTTTACTTTCCCAGTTTTTGTGAACAGTTTTGTGACTTTTACTTGAGTTGTTTTCTCATCAGTAAAATTTATTTTTACCAAAGTAATTTTCTGTTCAGTTAACTTTACTTTTACTTGGTTGTTTTATTCAAGTATTTTATAGACCTTAATTTAAATTCCATATATTTAGGTAAATCTGCACCAAATTTGCTATGGTTGATCCTAATCCACTCCACTACAGGAATACAGTCCAATTTTGGGGGGCGTGGCCTAATTACTCAACTGCACCTCCTACAGTTATTTTAAAAATTTGCCCCAAGCCATGCTTGTACCTGGAATCATGAAATTCCTAAAAACAAAAAAAAAAAGTCTCTAAAAAGGACCTGAAAAAGTCTCCTGGAGTCATGGTCCAATCATGGCT